TGAAGAGGTAAATTGTAACTTTATTAATCTATTTTATAGCGATATTACAATGTTAACTTATTTTTAATTTTAGTTTCCTTGGGAAAAAGTCAAGCCTCTTAAATTCTAATATTTAAAAATCCAATATTACTCATTATATTTGGCATATTGAAGCCAAATCTAATGATGAGTGATATTAAACACCATATATTGTTAATTTATATCATCATTAATTATCATTTAGTCATTTACAAAAGTAAATTTTATATCAAGCAATAGCATTGTTCGGTTATATTCGTTTGGTTCTTTAGAGTCAAGAATCAAATAGGTCCACAAATATTCTCTAATCCTATCAAATATGTGAAGCATGGTAATTTAGCAAACTCTAGATTTTAATATAATTTAAAATTGGTAATAGATTTAACTAGGGTAATTTAGTTTTATGTAAGAACATTAAGACAATGGCTAACGTAATTTAACGAAGATATAAACTGTCATAACAATAATTGGTTCCGAAAATATTTCGGCGTACAAAATAAAATGTGACTCAATTATAAAAATTTCCACATTGTTTATTTACTATTTTAAAAAAAAGATCGATATATATGATTTACTTATTAAATCTTAAATTGTTTATAAATAAATAAATTGCATTATCTACCATCAATTTATCCGCCCCAATTTATATAAAGTTCGATCGATAAATCATATTATTTATACTAACAAATTTCGAAATGAAACTTGATATCAAATTCTCTAATTTTAAGCCGGCCAAAAGTTCGGATTCATTCTTTATTTCTCGGTTTTTCAAAGGTCCAAATTTCATGTCAACATATTTTATGGATAGTTTTTTTTCAGTTCTTCTACGATTTGGCGAAAGACGTGACATGCGATCTTGTTATTTCAAGAAGTCATATAAGATTAACATATCTAATCGAAGGTGTCTTTGGTGATAAATACATGGACGCGTAAGTAAAATTCAAATTTTGTTATATCGATTTTATTTAATATGCTAATTGAACGGAACTCATTTTGCAAATAAAGAGCGCTCGCTATTTCTCAAGAATCCGGCGAATCCGACGAATTCTTTGATTTTGTGGAATTTATTGAAATGGAATGCCCGAGCATTCTAGAGTCCGATCAATTTTCATTCGACATCACTTTTCCCCAACTAATAAACATAATTAACCTGATGGAGGACAAAAACGTGCAAATGCATTATGACTGTGAAAACCAAACGATATGTTGGAATCAGATGAAAATCGTATGAATTCCATCTGCATTATGTTATTGTTATTATTTTAATAAATTATTATTGTACTAATATTTACTATATACTATTATTATTCTGACTACTCATGTTAATACATTTCCACAAATTGAAAGGATAACATAGTTGATTACACGCTGAAAATGTCACTGGTACTTGCATCACCAAGGGAAATAGACGCACCGGTGCATCCTCCCTACAATGTAATGGTTGAAATTTGACTGGCCGTTTGCACGGCGTTTGGTGTCGACTCACATGTCTTCATATTTTGTAAGGCGCAAATACTGCTCCCTTCATTAAGAAAAATTATTCCATTCGTCGATTTTATGGGATATGCGGATAAGACCAAAATAGTATTATCGGCAAATAATCAAGGAGTATTCAAGTTGTCTTCATGTAGAAGCGGTATGAACATAACCTTTGTTAATTGTAAGAATATTCCAGGTATGTTTTACTTAGATTGTATCGAATCAAGAATAAAATATCCGTATTTAATTACAATTTTAAAAATAGTAAACGAAGAATACATTCTGGGCGGTGATCCTACAAAATTCGCGACCGTAATATTGGACAGAAAATTGTTTTTCGAATTTTTGCGTTCTAAAGGCTTAGATTGGGATGCCAACGACGCGATTACGTGTAGTAAGTTTACTTGACTTATTAATTCAAATGTTGGAGTCAAGGACTCATTCTATTCATTAATTCCGGAAATAAGAAATCGCCGATCAAAGAGGTATTTTGTTCGAAGGGGATAATGGACCTATCAGTTTCACATACGTGATGCCATTGATGATCCCATCTTCGTAACAGGTATTTTTTTTGTTTATTTTTGATTTTCAGAAATAAAGATTTGATCACGAATATTATTTGTTCGAGGGACTCTGTGTACAATTCACCCCAAACATTGTTGTTTGCAGATTAAATTTATTTTTGTATGTCATTTTTCTTTCATTTGAATAAAGAATGGTCTTGACTAATTACCATAAAAGTTAAGTTCAAAATATTATAATACAATTAAATGGAAATGATAAAACAGATCTATATCATTTTTTTGAGGTTTGGAAAAAGAATTTGCATAATTCCGTGTATAAATTTAAGATTACAAAAAGTGAAAACGTAGAATTTATAATTTACAATCTACAGATATCTTTCTTTACTTTTGTATATATCGACTTTACTAATAAGGATATTTGGTTAAATCAATATTTGCAGGTATGTCGTCATCTTCATATTCATCATCCTGATCCTCACTTGAGCACAGTGAGTCTTCGTGTTCGTTATCTATCATTTCTTCCTCATCCTCGAACTCTTCATCATATCCGATAATGGTTCCACCTTCGTCACGTTCAGGATGTATGTTCATTCGACCTGGCATGTCAACATCTCCTCCAACGTATAACGTACGCCTTTTACTTAGGGACATCACATTATCCTTATAGTTACCATTTATGTCGGTGTTATTTGAATTGTCATGTGACTTTTTGGGAGATAATGAAATAGAACCTTCGAGTTCTTCTGTGCGGCCCTGAAGTAATATTTTCTGTTCATTATTCCCTCCGGCAATACTTCCGGTAAATGTTCGAATTACTTCCAACCTTTGAGAACCATTCACTTTGGGTGATAATTTCGGTGACAATGCTGTTGATAACTTCGTTTCATATATTTCCGGGGGTAATTCGATCTCCGGAATATCGGATTTCCAATAATTCCAGTCATTGTATACCGTATCCCACTTGTTGCTACCAATATGAGGAAACATTTGGTCAACTAGATCGCTCAAGTCGACATATCTAATATAAAAAAGGTTAGAGAATTTCGAAAAACAAAAATGTAACATAATAATAATAACAATAACTCACGATGATTTATAGCCTGATAGTAACTCAAGTTTAACTTCACCATTTGAATCAATCGTGAAAATTCTCGACGATGGGACATTTACACTTCGGTAAGATAATGCGTCCTAGCGATCATTTCAAATTTAAATAACGCACATTAAAGTGACCAATATGGGTAAACGAGAAACGTACTGTTATCCGATTTCCAAATCCTGCAAAAAATGGGTTTCTATCTCCAAACAACTTTTGTATATCGCGTAAGCACGACATCTTGAAAACTTCTGGCTTACGCATTATCACTTCTCTATGAAATGCCGTTAATAGACGATCAGGCGACATTATCACGGGACCGTCAGGCAATTGATATTTGTCCTGCTTGACCTTTTCCAAATAATCTCTTGTGTAATCCGCCTGCATTCGATTAGAATGTCAACATGTTTATCAGGTTTAAAATGAGGTGAATACAATCAAATCAGTACCTGACCAATAGCCCGACTCGTTAGATACAATATTTGATATCCATTCCTTCGGATGTCCGAGTATAATTTGGCCACTCCCGAATGAGTCCAGTCCCTTCCGATCATAGTGAAAACATGACCAAGAGCATCCGACCTAATTTCATTATTCGATTTTAGAATCGTTTCCTCATTTTGTTAAAATAATAAATTAAGCTGTTGCATACTTTGTGATGGTTCCATCAATGTCAGATATAACGATCTGAGTATCATAATCCCAAAAGAACAATTTTGCCACACAAGTAGCTTTGCCTTGATAAGAAGAGGGAACTGAAAATGACATGGTATTGACACCTTTTTTTAGGTTGAGGCTTTTCTGATGGATTTCGAATTCGTTAGGAACGAAAAATCTTCATAATTTTTAATCAAGTTAATTAATTGCACATACCAACTGTTCTGATGTTAGACGAAGAGTTTTTGCGTAAAATTTGGTTGGTTTTTTTGCATCTTGAGAAATAACCTCCTATAATTGTCATGACAAGTGTGTTAATAAGTCGAATTTTCATATCAAGAAGACTTAGAATATTGGAAGTGAAATTAAACATACACTTTTGTCGTCAGTCTTAGGCTCCCCTTCAACTATTTCATTGACATTTGTGTGTTGCGAACTAGCAGATCGAGACCACCACCGACTCCAGCTTCGCAAACTGTATTCCCTTCGATCCGGTGACCTCAGATCTTTCAAACGATTACTAGACAATGTATTTACTGCCGTCTCAGGAAGTGACTTGTTAAACACAATTAAGGAAGTAATTAAAGGTGCAGCGGTAGGCCAGGTGTAATATCTTTATTTCATATGAAAAAATAAATAATGAATGAATGAATGTCTCAACAAGATGTCCAATCATAAAAGATGATCATCAAATACGAACCGATCATTATATCTTATAACCAAACTCTTATCATTCAACAGTTGGGGATTTTCCGAGAATTGCTCGAATGAGACAAGTTTCTTGCGAAATATTTCAGCTTCAGTATTCTGCTCGCATTTAATTATTGATCAAATAGAAATTAGAAAGAGAAATAGGATGAAAAACAACCAACCATCAATTATTAATTGAAATCATATTAACTCACCTCATCCATTCCAAAACCATCATTGCCACAAAGTGACATTTCAAAACGATGAGTCCTACCATCAATTTCGACACCGGATGAATTTTCTGAATGGTTTTCCCGATCCTTCCTTTCCTTATCGTCAGTACCCTCTTGCCAATGTTCCATTTTCTCGGATGTCCTCACCGGCAACGCTCCCCATCCCCATGACCATTCTCCTCCATCTTTCGAAGGTTTCGTAGGCTCGTACTAGAAAAATTAAAAATGGTTAAGCATTTCTAATTGTCAGCATTGAAAAATATATGAACCCATCCTTCTTACTTCTAATTCTGTGTCACTTAAGGGACTGTCCCTGTGTGTCCGCCGCTCCAAACTAATATATAATAAAAAAATATTAATAACATTTAACCATCCAAATGACGAGTATGAAGCAGTGCATAGCATATACATACGGTTTTTCGGGTTTTCGCGTCTCATCCAATTCTGTGTCGGAAAATGGACCTTCTGAGTTTTCCCCTGTTAAAATGAATTAAAAATTCATTATTATTTACAATGCTTGATGCAAGATTAACATCAAAACTGTGATGGTTACGAGACGGTTTTCAATAACAAAATATGTCAAAGGTAAGATAACCTTGTTTTGAAAACCTATCCTATAACGGCCCACAGCCTGTATTGAAGCCAAAGGTTATAATAAAAACGCACGAACAATTTGAATGAACTGAAGGTAGGTGAATAGCCAAATCTTTCGATACATCTCTTTCTTCGATCGGTGGCAATATTATCTCGTCATATTGGGCTTCTGCACGTTAATATGCCGATAATTCGAGAAGTGACTGGATTATTATCATAGTTTCTTTTTTTATTGATGCTCTTAACTTATACCCTGTTTTCCAGGTTGATCAAAGAAAGGCATTAAGAGATCACTTACCTAAGTGCAAGTTGGTGTATGTTTCCCTTTCCGAAAATGAGTCATTAAGGTGAACTTCGTCCAACTGATCAATTTTTTTTTCGATGCTTTCAACCTCAATCACGGAATGCCTATCATCAACTTAATTGATTTTGATTTTTATTAATCAATGCATCTTCCGTAACTCAAAAAAACACTTAAGAAGTCAATAATAAGGCTATTACTTAATGTCGAATCGATTTGCTTTGGAGTTTCAGAAAGAGTTTCGACCTCACTAATAGCCAGCATTACATCAGATTTCAAAATTTCCTCCTGGCGTTGTACATGAATTTCCACATTCGCATCTTTCTCGTCCTGGTCATTCGTGATAAGGTATTTTTCATCGACATCATCGTTTAGCAGATTTTGGCCATCGATCGCTTCAACGATAGTAACATCTTCAGATGTTGAACCGATGAAAATTTTAGAGTCCTCAACAATTCCAAAAACCTTCGGTTCAATATCTCCTTCATATCCGTCTTCTGTACTAAAATCTATGCCAAGAGTTAGGTCAAGATTCATCATTGGTGCATCAAGAACTCGGCGATCAAAATCATAGATTCATACCGGAACTCAATATATTGCTATGTTTCGGTGTACCAATAGGATCTTTAATTAATTGTAATGTAATCTAAGTATAATATTCTATAAATTTAACGCCAGCTGAATAGTCAATTAAATTTACCGCTGTCCTTTGGTATTGGGGAAGTTTGTTCGGATGAATCCCCTAAATCAAGAAAATCAGGTTCCTAGTAAAAATTTCTATCCAGTTAATAAACCGACAAAATCCCGCCCGCAAATAAAATGAACAAAACAAGATAATTACTCCAACGTTCGGCAAAGGATCACTAGGTCCGGCAAGTGGTGAAGTCTGAAATTCTTCTGGCACCACATTTTCAGTTTCAAAAATGAAGAAGGCTTCACCTGCCTCCCCTATTTTCATTGGGAAGTCAACAATTTCGTTATTAACTGTAACCTCAACCTAGGCAGAGAAGGACGATCTAAGCATATGTTGACGTTAAAAAGGGACAAGTATGGAAAAGAGCGTATGTGGGCACCTTTTTTTCTTGGGGTCTCAAGACGGAAAGTTTGCCAAAACGCACGTGGAAAGGAGAGCAAGCAAGTTCGCCATTAGGCTGTTGAACAACGACGACGTCGATTGCGCCAGAAAGGGTTGAAGGATTTATTTCTCTGTAAAATTGGTTAACCGTAGATACGAGCCTGTATACTGATTTCATTATTTAATGCCTTCTCGCCACACTAAAATAAAAATGAACGAGAAATAGAAAAGTGGCAACTGATGTAGGAGCAGTGATACATGTATATTTTATCGAAATACTTACGTAATAACCATTAGATAATTTAAAATTTCACTATTTCCAGTTAGATTCGGAAAATATCTTTTTAGTCACCTGAATGATGTAATGGAGAAAATCATTCTTTCCAAAAACGATGAACATTGAAAAATTCCAAAAATATCCTTAAAGCTGAGTAGCATATAATGTAAACGATTATACCCGTTAGGTGTGCGTGAATAATAATAATTCATTGAAATGAAAAACGTTTTAATTCATATTTTGAAACAATGTTTGGTAATCAAAAAATTCATGTTTTTTGAGTTCTCCTAATGGACTGCCCGATGGCAATCTTTCCATAATTTTTCGGCAGCATCTGTGAAAACAACAAATCTCAGACTAAATATAAAATAAGTTTAAGTGCTTTTAAACGCATGCTACAAAGTTGCATTTACATTGGCATGAAGCGTGATAATTTCGTTATTGGTGTGAACTGATTTCGTTTTTTTTTATTTCGATGAGGCACAATTACGTTTCTTAATTCTACAAAATAACGATATTATTACATCATCCGTGGTAATCGATGAGACAAGCCACTATTCGTAAAATCTACGCATAGCCTCTTTGTTAGCTTTTGGATGGCTAATACAATGCACCAAGATATCGAAAACTTCATGATCCAATGGACACAGACGTTTTCACCTTTTCGGGGAATTTTGAAGCACTAAACCCATTTGTAGTAGACCATAAGAGAACATCTATTAAAATGTGATTGGTTGGGTAGATCAAAAAAAAAAAATTTTTTTTTGATCCGATCTATATAACAAAAAAAGATAGATAACATAAGTACATACATGGATAATGCCTTCCGAAAAGCCATTTCACCATAGGACTACCCTCAAACAAATCAATAAACCCTTTAAATCAAAACATGCAACAAAGGGAGCTCTCAAAGATCAGGCAAAAGGTTAGAATTGGATTTAAATTGAAATGATATAAACCCATTTGGTGAATTCACTGTACTCTCATAAATCCAGGAAAAACGAATCGTAAGCCCATAAAACAAGTCCGGTCAAATTTTATTTCGAAGGCCGATCGTCGTAATGCCGCAAAATTGGAACAGCAGAAAAAGAGAGCCGAAATAGTAAAAACTAATAGGCTATTTGAGGGGCGACACGGCGCGCCTAGAATTGTGGTATATAAAAAAAAAAAAAAAAAATTTTTTTTATATTTATTCCTCATTCCCACGAAAATATATCATTCTGTGACAAACACATCAATATATCTATTATTTAGGCAGTCGTTCCTTTATGTTCAGATGTGAATTCATACGATGTTGTAAAAAGTATCTGTTCGAGTATCGACCAACCGATTCCATCAGTCACTAAAGGCATATCTTTCTTAAAGTATGCTTTCGCTTAATCATCTTTCCTTAATGTAGTTATCGAATTAACCGTCAATATTAAATATCTAGTGCCGAACGTTTCAAGCAAAAAATTCAGTTTGTTCTATTAGATCGTAACTTTATCGACATCATAGACGCGTGCAAAGTTGCAGATTTTATTTTATTTGTAATCTCTGCAGATGTGGAGGCAGATCAATTTGGCGAGTTATGCCTTCAAGCGATTCAATCGCAAGGTTTTCCAACACTAATTACAATAGCTATGGTACGTTATCGTATTTCTATTGATAATAGTACTTTGAAGAAATGACTGGAGAATATTTATTTTTTGAAAATTTGTAATGAAAAGCACATGGAGAAAGTTCCACAAAAGAAACGAAATGACGTTAAGAAATCATTGTTGAGTTTCATTAATTATTTCTTTCCAGACGAAGAAAAAGTTCATGTTTCAGACCAGTCACAGGTAAAGCTTTATACAATCCATGATGCATTGTCTATCCGGTTTTTCGTATACTTATCTAAAGATAACATTCTCTGTTGTCATAGGACGTCCTCAATGTACTACGAATAATTTGCACACAACGTCCTAAACAAATATTATGGAGGGAAACAAGGCCATATATGCTTGCAGAAGAATTGATCTTTGACGCGGACAGTAGTGATGTAACATTGGTTTTTTTATTTTTGGACAAGCAAACTCTATCATGATCTAATTCTTATGTGAAATCTACCTTCAATATAGAATTTTGGAACTCTCAGGGTTTCCGGATATGTTAGAGGATTAGCATTTTCAGCAAACCGATTGGTGCATTTACAAAATTTCGGTGATTTTCAATTAAATAAGGTTCGAAAAGTTGTCACTCTTCCAGAATTATTGCGTTTTCTTATACTCATTCAGCTATTCTTTCCTAAAATAGATTACCACATCAAATCTAAAAAATCACGAGGATGGTCGAGACATGGCGAGTTATCCCTTTTAATATGAATCTCGAATTTTTAATTTTAGGTCTTGATCTCATTGATCATGTATTATATATAGGTAGAGGATATTCAAATTTTGGAAGTTCCGAATCCAGGCGAACAGGTATGTGATTAAATATCGTTTTTATGAACAAATTAATCTTGCTAATAAGTTCCAAATTGTTAGGATTCCCTGATCGCAGAAAATGAACCTAATTTAATGGAAAGTGATCAAACCTGGCCAACCGAAGAAGAAATGTCTGGATATGAACGTAAGCGTGAGAGAAACTTGCGAAATAACCGGACTGAAGCTAATTACTATATCAAAACGAATCTTAGACCGCGCAAAACCAACCGGAGATATACCAGATGCGCTTCCGGGTACAACTCCAAGTAGAATTATTAAGCGTGTACCTAAAGGGACGTCGGCCTATCAAGCTGCTTGGATAGTTGATTCGGAATCAGATAGTGAATATATTTATAGTGATGAAGAAGGGGATATTAGTATGGCTTATGAAGAAGAGTCTAAGGTTGTTGATGTGAAGGACACACGTGAGGATGATGATGTTGAATACGAAGAAATTGAAGTTGAAGACAAAAATAGTAAATCAATGATTCATATGGATCATGAGGAAGAGGAAAGACAGTAATTAGAAATTTTAAGTCTTTGTTACTTTATTGTTTCTTTAAATGCACAATTGGTCCGAATGAATAGTTTTTATATAGATTAAAAGAATACTTGGCTAAGCGGGAAAAGGAACGTAGAGATGATCTCGAATTTCCTGATGAAGTGGACACGCCACTAGAAATTGCAGCCCGCACAAGGTTTCAGAAATACCGTGGTCTGGAGAGTTTTCGGACTTCTCCATGGGATCCATATGAAAACTTACCAATTGACTATGCTCGCATTTACCAGTTCGAAAATTATAAGAGAACGAAGAAAAGAGTAGTATCATTAGCTTCTGTTGGTGGAAGTAAAGTAAAGGTTTGGTTAAAATTTTTTTATGGACACGAAGTCTTCAAGACATTTGAATCATGTAATAATAGCATTGTTGCAATTTATCAGGTTGGTGCACTTATTACTTTACACATAGCCAACATCCCTAGAGAATTAGCAGGTACGGATAAAATAATAAGATATTATAAAATGCATATCAATAACAATTATCCCTTTTTAAAAAAAGAGACGTACGATCCATCTCGGCCATTCGTTGTTTTCGGCCTTTTAGAATATGAACACAAGATCTCTGTATTGAATTTCGTAATTACACCTAATAGCGAATACCATGATCCTGTAAAATCCAAGGTATTTGGTATTTACAATAGGTCGCATTGTCTCGTCGGATTTTTGTAAAAAGTCTTCAATTAAAGTCATTTCACCAAAGGATCCACTCATAATGCATTATGGGTTCCGACGTTACAAAGTAAGCCCTCTATACTCGCAAAATACGTTAGGAGGCAAAGGAACCAATAATGTTCATAAGTACGAGAGATTCCTTAATCCCGGTAGGACCTGCGTTGCAACAATATATGGTCCAATTCAAATTGGAAAAGTGCCAGTGACCCTTTACAAAGAAACGGATGACGTTAATTGTTAGTGTTAACATTTTGCTTTGTTTCTTATTTGTAAACAACATTCTAATTTATGATCGCATTTTTCGTTCATTCGATAAAGCACCGATATTTGTTTCAAACGGATTTTTTTCGAACTCGGATCCACAACGAATAATTGCAAAGCGCATTATTCTCACCGGACATCCGTTCAAAATCAATAAAAAATCGGCCGTTGTAAGATACATGTTCTTTAATTCTGGTATGTATAGTTAAACTATTTTAATTCACATAAATATGATTACATCTGTTGATCGTATATAATGTAACGTAAATATAGACGATGTCTTATGGTTCAAGCCAATTCAACTGGTCACAAAGTATGGTCGAATTGGGCATATCCGCGAATCTTTGGGCACCCATGGATACATGAAATGCATATTTGATTCACCCATAACCCAACAAGACACCGTTATGATGAACCTATATAAGCGAGTGTTCCCAAAATGGAATACTACGCTATTGTGGCGTGGAGGGTTAAAGGCAACAAATGCGACTTCGAGCGAAGATCAAGGCAAAATGAAAGATTTGAAGATTAACGAACAGGATGTTGAGATGACAGTGTGAATCATGAGGTAATTTTGAATTTTTGTTTTTGTTTTTTTAAAGCACCTTGAAGAGAACTCAAATAACCGAAATATAAAAATATTGTTAAAGGAGGCTCACACTAAATTTTCTTCCTTATTACCTAATTTAGTAATCTTGATATAGGCATCAGTGCCATAACCATCCATTGTAAAAATAGTCAGTTCACCACCTAGATACTCAGCATACACTTTACTCATCGGTAATCCAATACCTAAACGTAAATCTGGAGATATATTTTCTTGCACCGTTCCTGCCATTTGTGGAACTTTGGAAAAATTCGTGAATTTATGAGAAATTTTTTTGTCATTACTTGCATGCCAAAATGACCAAATGTGCGGATATATTCTGTCAGGAATTCCTCCGCCTTGATCTGATATACGAATGTAGATATCCGTTAAACCTGAACATATTGTTACTAGAATTGGTGGAAGTTGCGCTTGTGTATCTTTAGGTGGTGGCGATTGTGATAGTAAAGAACCATGTTTTTCTAATACACCTCTCATAGAATTCTTTAATAATTCATAAATAATATACTCTATATGATCAGGTATATAAGAAAATACAGTGTCGTTCCCACCATCTATAATAACAGCTGGTGATTCAATATTATAAATAGTTTTACACAAATTGTTCGTCATTTCTGCACATTTCTCTACGATTTCTTTAGCATTACATTTAGTTGATACCACACCAATATATTCGCCACTTTCATCCGATCCGTAACCATATCCAGGATCGTGCCAATTTTCCGTCAACGCAATTTGCTGTTCAGCCAAAACTCTTCTTGAGATACGTGATCTTAGCATAGTGTTCATAAAGCGATTAACTTGTTCCGCAGTTAAGTGCTCACCACATTCCATAATTCCCATAGCCAGCTGTGGAATTACAACCAAATGATCTTTCAGTAGAGTTTTTAAGACTTTACAAAATTCATCATTATCCGCCATTGTTTTTATGGGTGGAAATTTTATAAATGTTTCAAACGCAGTCCAATATAAATCGTATACTTTTGCTATGTGCGGATTTGTTCCAACGATGAAAGGTAAATTTTGGAAATTCCTTATCCTATGGGCCAATCTTATCGCAAGTTCAGTTCTAACATAATTCCCACTTCGGATAATTCTTTCTTCGGATAGATTACGACCGAAGACAATAAGTTGCCGAAGTGTAATTTTATTTGCACGTTTAGCTACATATTGGTCAAGAATTCTATTTTGGTAGAAATGTTGCGGAGAATATGCTCTACGTTGTAATGTAGAATTTAACGATTTCAAATGCGTTAAAGGAGGTAGAGATGGTAAAGGATGCGGAGGTGGAGGTGATGATATTGAATTAGAGAGAACAGTTCTCGCATTAGGCTCCGTCTTAGGAATCGTTGTTATTGATAGAGGACGCTGAGAGGGACTGACAGCTGATACCGACTTCGAAGGGAGTGAGATTTGTGTTGAGCAATTAAAAGGCCATTGACTTATTATTTTCAAAAATTTTGCCCGTTGTGACCAACGAACAGTCATCGGAACCATCTTTTTGCGAAGTGCAAGGATTTAAACTGGGTGATTATATATTTAATTGATAATCGTAATTTGGGAAATTAAATTATCTAAAATTTATGATTCATCATGATTCTGATGATTAATCATGCTTGATTTGGTCAAAACAAAAATGCGATCGGAGATCGGGGACTCCATTATACTATGAGCAAATTTTTTGTGTTACTACTACTTTATATCCAAATGTTATTACTTATATTTACAGTATAAACCGATGTTAAAGTATAAAAGCTTTCGGATTTTGGAATTTCTTTAAAAGACCATACTGGTAAGTACTCAATAAGATTAGACTTATTATATACATATGGCAATCCCTCTCTAAATGTATTTACCATAATTCCTTGATAAATACTTTTTTTTTTTTTTAATATGATTTCAATAGAAGTGTATTTAAAAAGAGTTTATCATTATAATAGAAATTGTATATATAAATTTATTCAATTTAATTTATTTGTTAAGTGATATCAGATTGCTAAAATACAATTAATAAAATAAAAAGTTATTTTTTCAAGCAAAATATTATTTCTAACCTTTTTTTTTTATTAATTTTTACAAATAAACTTTTGTAAATGAGATGTATAAATTTATATAAATAATAACAATTATATTATATTATTATAGATATTAATTTGCTTATAATAAATATATTTTCCAGTAAGTAAACATTATTTCTTTATTTGTTTGTATATTTAAAAAATATATATCATAAAAGAAACAACATCTCTTATATACAATAACAACAAGTTTAATACTAGCTTGCCTATACTATTTATATCTAACTAATATTGAAAAAAAAATTTTAAAACAATACTATATACTAAATATAGCTGAGGGTAATAGCTATGCTTACTTATTTAGAAAATTTGATAAGACAACAATAAAATGAAAAGTAAAGAAAAAAAAGAAAAAATTTAACTGGGGCTACAATTACATAAGCTAAATCATATCAATTAAACTATAAAATCTATATAAACAAAAAGAATATCTAAAAGGAAATCAATAGTTAGGTTCTTGTACTAGCACTAGACTAAGGATTCTAACGATTCTCTTCAACTCTGTATTTGATTCTCAAGTTTATATTAAATTTAATAGGTGAGGTATAACTCACTATTATTTTTAATAGTGTTTTGAATCTTATGTAATTCCCTGCGATTCTGTTCAATTTCAATTTTCAGAACCATACACTAGACTTAAAGATATATTCTTTGTTAACATGAATAGTAGAGTATAATTAATGTAAAATATAATTGATATTGTTTGTTGTTGTAATAGTTATTATTGTAATAGTTATTGTTATTATTATTGCAGTATTGAAAAACCAAATTAAACTGATTTGGTTTTTGCTTTGTTGTTTTGATGAAATCTGATTGAATAATTAAAAAGTAACAATTATATATATATTTATATTTAATTCAGACATTTTTCAAAAACCATATTATGTTTGTATTACTAAGTAACAATTAATAAATAATTGGGAATCATATTTAATTTAGAATCGTATTGTCAATCAAATTTTCTTTTATGGTAATAAGAAAACATATATAGTAATAATCATTTGAAAGGAATAAACTGATTTCAGTTTTTTGAACAAAAAGTTTTAGAAATTTTGAAATGGTACAACAAGTGTTGCTATGGTAGAGATGTATATAAAGATTGTATTAAAACAAACAGTAAATCCAATAACTTTATTTGAATATGTTTTTTGGAAAATATTTGATTTGGTATATATAATAGTATTGATATATAGCGGCATTTGTCTAAATATATACTGTTGAAACCAACAAACTTTTATGCATTTAAACAGAATATGCATATATACATTTATATATATATATTTCTTTTAGTATTAAGATTATAATTTACAATCATCAAAAGAAATTTCCATCCATAACAGAAAATATTAAATTACTCAAGAAATTATTATCTCAATTGCTTTTGAAATCTTAATAAAAGTTGTTTTTCTAGTCCTTTTACAAATAGTTATTTAGAACAGAAAAGAAGTTTTATAACTAGAATTTTGAGCTATAGCACTTCAAATTTGCAGTGCCATTCAAAATTACATAGGTGTTTTAAGAATTCTTAGAAAAAATATTAAGATACTATATAGAAAATATAATAAAAAATGATAAATGGAAATAAATGTGAATAATATATATTAATATCTGTCAAATATAAAATTTTTTACAAAAAATAAAAAAAATAATTTAATTTTTTATATTTTATTCAAATATTACTTATTACATTAATAAT